GGTTTGCAGCACAAAATGCCCTATTGAGGAATTTTTATCGGCGTTGAAGAAGAATATCCACGGAAATATCACCTTTGAATCTGATTTACATTGAAATTGTTTCAACCTAGGATGTTTGATCAATTCATTTTCATGAATAAAGCTTTTTAACCTTTAAGTACGTTACAGGCAATACAGAGGAAGGGGATGGAGGGATGATAGCTTAAAACTTGATTTTTTCATAATTATTTGCCACTTGCTTTCTTTTGAAATATATTTTATCAAAAAAAATGAAATCCCTCTTAAATAAGTTAGTAGGTATGTATATAATTAAATGCAGAACGACTGATTACTTTCAACGTGTAAGCTGTACATAATGTTTAAAAATTAGTTGAACACATGACTTTCAAATTATTCAGTGATTAGGTAGTTGTCGAATTAGTGATGTGGAATGAAATGGTCATCAATTTCAATTGGTCCCTTTTATTCATTCAGTTACACGAAAAGACTTTAGCATCTCACGGTACAGTCCTAAATTTGTTTTAAATTTAGCTTGACTAACCTTTACTTCATGGTAAAATTTTTTCTCTTCTTCACAACTTCTGGTGATTGGAGCAAAAATTGGCTATGTAATAAATAGTCAATTGAAATATGGAATTATTCCATCTATCAATTTTATTCTAACACTTTGAGAGATTTTCATTTCGAAACCGATGACTGTGGAAGCTGAAAAGAATTTATTACAAATAACATTCTCCATTTATGCTACCTTTTATTTATAAAACGTTTGGTTTGTTAGTCTAAATTTGTTTCGGTCTCAAAAAACCAAACCAAACCATTTACATTATTAGACTCAAAAAGTCAGTTATATTCCTGATTGCATTTTGTTTTCTAAGCTGAGTTTTTTAATCAACCAACCGACCAACCCTATCCGAAAATTCTACAACCAGATCAATAAAACCTTGAACAAACTCTTCAAACCAGAAGAAATAACAGAGCAAGATAAATGATAAATGAAATCAAGTGGACCTGTTCTTCCTCGATTCTTTGGCAGACGTTAGTCTGACAACATACTTCCAATTCAATAGCAAGATATACAAACAGATGAAAGGAACTCCAATGGGATCACCGATATCCGGATTAATTGCAGAAGCAGTGATCCAGAGACTGGAAGCCAACATTCTGTGATCAAACTAAAATTCTGGATTTGTTATGTGGACGACACTTTTGTCACCATTAAAAGAGATGATGTAGAAAACACTCTCAGTTTGGTCAACAACGTTTTCAATGGCATCAAATTCACAATGGAGAAAGAGTCAAACAACCGATTGGCATTCCTATATGTTATAGTTAGCAGAAAAATCGTCTGGAAACTGAAGTGTACAGGAAGCTAACACACACTGATCGAATTGTCAACTACAGTAGCGACAACCCAACAATGCAAAAGATCAATTGCATGTGGACTGTATTCAGAAGAGCGAGAATACACTGTAGTACATTTTAACGAAGAAAAGAGGAAAATTACTTCATGTCTAGGCCAAAGAAGAACGGCTACCCATGAATTCGTGTCAGAAGATGCCTATCCCGTGCATAAATAACTACAAAGTCATCGACAGGAGCCATAAATGCATCATCCCACCATGCAAAAAGGATACTTTAGAACTCATGACAAGATTACTGAAACCATTTGGAATTGGTGAGGCTCATAATCCAACAAATTCCATCCAAACCAAAAGATGCAAAAACCGAAGCAGACTAACCAATTATTATTTACAAAATCAACTACAATAACTACATTCCACAAAGTGGTTGCCATCTGTGCCTTCGTCCACATGAACACCAATTGACAATTAAACGTCATAACATTTCATCACTCATTTCAATCCACCTGGATAACAACAGTGGACATGAATTCAATTTTGACAGTGTAGAAATCTTGGATGGAAAGAGGAAACACAAAGCGTGTAAGAGAATTCCTAGGCGCTAGGCACTCAGATTAGTCAGTCAGCAATCAACAGATGTATGGACACAGACTCAATCTATCAACCAGTGAGAAAAATGATAAAGGACAGGAAGGTCAGAGGTGAGGCAGAGGAACAGCCAACAGGGAAATCTATACAGTCAATGCCACAATTATCAAAGGGAATAAGCAATCACCAACCAGTTTGTCAGGGTAAGCTACTAAATCACTGACAGCCCACTTCATACTGGAGTTAGTGCTGATGATGTTCTCTAGCAAAACGATGAAAGCTCCACAACTAGACAACCCAGCTCAGAGAAAACAATACAACTAAGACCATCCACTTGAGCCACAAATATTCTCCACCATTTAAACCCCAAATCCATGTCATGAGAATGGGATAAATTCTCATTAAAAAAAGACTGGAAAGATGTCATGAAAGTGTTATATGGTTGCAACAAACAGTGAACTTTCTCAGCTTCTTAAGTGTGTAGTATACTAGCAAAGTTAATTAATGTTTGTTGCTGCTATGAACTACTGATGTGTCATGTTTGCTCACTGATGTTAACTAAATTAAAGGTAAATTATGTGATTTTATTCCCAAAGCTGTTATAGTACAATTTTGGGATTTTCAGCATGACATATTAAAACAAAAATATATCGTTAATATATACTCCTTTACAACATTTCTGAGTGTTAATATAACAATTTAAGTTACTTAAAGAATATGAATAATGGTGAAAGTTTTACAGTGTTATTCAAAATATTGAAAAGACAGTTTATTTATTGTTAAGAAGTTGATAAGTGAGTTCTATTCTAACACCTTTCTATTCACATGAGATGCATGCTTGGTAGTACACAGTCGAATTCGTGTATTTAGCTATACAAGGGTACAGTCTTATGAAGTTTGTTCTTGTCTTCCTTGGCTAGATACAAGGAGAGAATAAGTGTACAGAAAAAGTGTCTACACAACACGGATAACGCTGAAATTCATGAATGAATTAGACTTGATTACTTGATCACTTACATTAAAATGATCATACACGTGTCAGATATTCTTTCCATAGTGATAATTCATCAATTCTTTCATGTTTTTGGGATCACTTATTCTTTACTCATAAAAAGCACCTAAACACGAACGTACTTTGTTAGATAACTCTCAAGATTATTGTACAAACAGCTGGTTAGACATTTAGAAAATGCTTAAGTTCTCATATTCGATGAAGGTGAACTACTACTGGTCATTATTTATTCATGATATAATGTTGAACTTAAAAGAGATGAAGGTCATTTCTTGCTGTATCTATAATCATCTCTTATATATAAATTTCAATCTGCTATAATCGACTTTGATATCTATTTTCTAGTGTAATTTAATTGTTTTCCTAAAACAATTTATACTGTATTATTAAGCCAAAAGACTCTGTTTAGATATTAGTTTCATCAGTGACATGTCAGATTTATTCAATAAAACTTTATACATGAGATGATAAACGATACGGCATTTCTTTTATTCTGTGAATATGTTACAGAATTTGAAAAATATATTTTAGAAAATACTTGAACTTGGTCAGTAGCTGTTTCCAACAGCTCAATCAGTAATCCAGATTTTGGTGGGAGAAATTCAGATATTCTTTCAGATTCAATTATCAGCCCGTTACATCTGATTCAATATTTCATGTAAGATCTATCTCAGGCTGATTCAGAAATATATGAAACAAAATGAATGTATTAAATCTGATAGCCATATATTGATTCGTATGCTTTAATGTTTTTGATGTAAAGCCACATTCTGGTAGCTTATTACTAATTACGACTGACAACACATAATACACACACCTTACTTAAATTATTTTTCAGTACAAGTAGACTAAACTATGCGTTTTGTGTTCAGGCTAACCAAGTGTAGCCTAACGCAGTCTATTAAAATAACTAGGAGAAATAAAGTCGAACGGTGAATGAAACCATCAGTCGGATTTGGATAAATCTAAGCTAACAGTATCATCAAAGGAAATCTGTATCCTTCTTCTATTTCAATACATAAAAATATGCGCATTAAGGCTAACATTCAGACGCTGAAAATAATCCATTAACACATTTTGCTTGGATTTTACTGATTCTTTACTCTATTAATAAAAAACCACCTAAATCCACAACTTTTCTTTATTCAATACTCACCTCTTTTGCTGGTTTAAATGTCACTTCAGCAATCATAAATTGTTTCGTTAGACTGTGTTTTCATGTTTCTTCAAAGTAGTTGCTAAGACCATTTGAACTCAAATTCCCTGGTTGATGGCATAATAGGAACCGAAATACGAAAAGCAGACTTAGAAAATTAATTGCCAGTTAACAACATTTCAGGTCACAGCAATATATGTGACCCCTTAACAGAGAATCAGCATAATTAGCAACGCTTCACCGTGTTCTGTTGTAAGGTAGGCGTTGAAAGTAGGAGACATGAGATGATGCTTTATATCACTGCTCATGTTGTGTAGAAAGTTCATACGAACCGTGTTAATGTTGGTCGTAGAGTTTGCGGTTGAATTTACATTTTACACGCATCTTAATTATTTTCTTCAACATTTCTCAGTTGTTTTTTATAAGAGTAGATTTATGGCCTCTTTTGTCACAGTTGTCTATTGAGGTAAACTGCAATATATTAGTTTGTTGCTATAAATAATGCTGTTTTCCTCTTCCCTTTTTCCTCAATAACTTGATGGGTCAGTACTTGATACTGCATTTCGTCTACAACACCCAACTCAAACAGCCTCTCAACAGCACTTGTAAAGAGAGGCATATGTGGGAATAATTAGACAATGAGTTATCCTACACTCTTCAATAATAATAGTAGTAAAAATAATCACTTAATTCCAAACAATTTTCGATATAATTTGGAATTTCCAGCGTGTAGGTCACTTACATTGGTGATCGAGATATACATAGCTGAATTTCAAAAACTTTCTTGTATGGAATAAATTACTATTACCTTTCGGTTAAAAAGGTATATCAGTTATTTTGGGATGGCTTAGTTTACTGATCAATCAAATACAACGGAACTTACATTTTAGATATTCCCTTAAATTAGGCGGTTCTAGACGCTGTAAATTGGTTGGATGGTCCATCCACTTATCACAACCACCTGGAGGTAACAGTAAACAGTCCTCTTCTGTAAGGAATAGTTTATTTCGATGCTGATGAGTTGGTGAGAAGTGTAATTGTGTTTTTCCCGAAGTATATCTGTCCATATAGCCAGTTGGCATCAATGGACCACTAACTTGATATCTTTCCATGCTACCAGAAGGACTAGGGCCAATTGTTGCCTGTCTACGATAACGACGATAAATCCATGGATAGGTACTGGGTATTACATTCGAGTTTGAAAAATATCTTGATTGAATATTAAATCGTTTATGATATCCATATTGGTTTTCTGAGGAAGATAACTCACGAGACATGAGATCCGTGTAACCAGGATATCTGACAAATCTTTTCGGACTTGATACTTCATTATAAGTGCCATAATTTTGAGCTGAATTAGGTGAAGATACTGACATTCCATACTTATCACTTTCCCAAAGCCATCGCTTTTGTGATCTTGAACCCATACTTTCTAAACTCACAGGACAACCAGATGGAATATTTCTAAAGTGTGACCGGGAAAATTGCGTAGTTGTCCACAGACGGAGAGAAGTGATAAACAGGACGACTGACAAGGGATATCATGAATCTAAAATTAACATATTGGGAAGTAAGAATGAGATAAGTAATTCAACTTTTTGAAGAAAAGGTTGCACTGATGAAAAGGTTATAGTATATTACAAGCTACACTGAAAGACAACTGTTCACAATCACAAACTTGAACTGTCCAAACACTTTACAGTTGTATTATGCTTTTAACTCATGACAGTTGACTAAGACAGAGAAACCACATCAAGGGGCTTCAGTCCTTTCCACAAGAAGACAATATGAAGTGATAATAAGAACCAGCGACATTTTCTAACTCCCAGAAATTCAGACTAGGTTATAATCCCATGTTTAGCCTCTGCTTGTGAGAGTGTAGAAGACAGCAGGGACACGAATTCTTAGTGTTCTACTCACACTGCTCAAGTTACGTAAACTCAGTCTTCTATGGAATAAAAATCGAAGTCATTCAACTTATTATTATTATTATTATTATTAGTCCCTTGGGTTCCTAGTGGAACATAGGGCTTCAGTAGCACGTCTCCAGTGACCTCTATTCTCTGAGATCTTTTGAACCTCGTTCCACGACAGCCCACAAGCTCTCATTTCCTCCTCGCACGACCTCCTCCATGTCACCCTCACCTCGGACACCCAACTCGTCGCTTCCCATGGGGATTCCACTCGAGCAACTGGCCTGACGCGTGATGTCCTCAGTCGGCCTTCTCAGTGCATGCCCAATCCATCTCCACTTTCTCCTGCATATTTGTTGCGTGATAGGTTCTTGGTTGGTTCGTTCCCAGAGTTCCTTGTTGCTCATTCTTTCTGGCCATCTGATCTTCAGTAGCGAGCCAGCGTAGGTGGCAGTTATTGATGAATGTCTGTAGTTTATTGGAAATCCCTTTCGTGACGCGCCAAGTCTCTGAACCAGATATTTTCGAGACAAATAGTCCATACTAAGGAGATCACTTCAGCTGGCCTGAATATCTGGGTTTTCACTACAAACCACAGTGGAATTTCTCACTACAGAGTGCGTATTTCCAAACACGTGATCTCAGCTTTCCCATTCGTTATGTAGTGTCAAAAGCTCTAGTCTGTTTTCCGTCCTCTTTCTCTAGCATACACCGTCACCCCTAAACATTTCAACCTGTTTTTGAAAACGCACACAAAGAATATTGCACCGTTTAACACTGTTCAAGTAAGACTAAATTCTAACCACTATAAATTCTGTTTCCGATCAGTTTGGTTAGATATTTGTAAGTTAGTGCAAACTAACTACAAATGGATACAGATGAAAATGAATTTACTGTGGACAGTAAGCACCGAAGTTGAACAAAACACCATGCAGAATGGATACCGAACCAATACGCCGAAAGAGTAATAACACCATTTCTATATATGAATCCTAAACAAGAGTTGACTAGATACTTTCACAAATATTAAAAACTGATGGAAAAGTTGGTATTACAATCCGATTATTTACGTGAAGAAGCAAAGACAAGACTCCCATGCTATATATTGCAATAATTTATTTTCAAACAATATAAGATATACACAAGCATAACTAATAATGTCATTTTATTGAATGAAAACAAGATATTTCCACTATTATTAGCAATATATCTACTTAGTATTAATAGTACAATCAATATGACTGCTAAAACACAAATACTTCAACCATGATTTGTCCATTTAGTCCGCGTCAGGCTTAAGAGATCTAAAGGTGATCTGCATTCAAAATCACGGTCGGAACATGCAGACTGGTGGGCTGGCTGGCCTCAGGAAGAACAAATCATGTGCGGATCACATTGCAACGCTACACATCATCATAGAACGAACAGAGTATAGAATGGAAGTCAAATCAATCCAACTCAACCTCAACCTCAACTTCATCGAGTTTGTAAAGGCCTTTTATAGCATCGATCGAGAATTAATTTAACAGCTGTTTGAACACTACACTTCTAGTGCCACTAACCTTTATCAACCTCATTCAACAGTAGATATATACTTTATGATACTGAATGCCAAGTGATTCACAACACAATGAGAAGCTGAGTGATGCCTATGAAGTGAAGACGGGATGGAGTAAGACAAGGTTGTCTACTGTCGACGATGATCTTCCTGATTGTGATCAACTCGACTGGACAAGACTGGACAGGAATGGACTGGACTGGACTCCACTGGATTTGACTTGACTTCACTTGACTGGACTGGACTTGACTGGACTGGACTGGAATTGAATTAATCATGCAAGAAACTATGAAGAGTGAGACGATGGGCATATGCTGACTGGACGGATGAGAAGACTGCAGGAGAAGATTTGAATTTCACCGCTGCCGTCGCTGCCACCGCTGCTGACGCCGATGATGATGATGATTTATGTCTAGTGTCTTGTCGCAAAAACTCGAAGATCTACAGGCTGAAACTACCACGTTGGCAGAAGAGGTGAGGCGGCAAAGGAAGACGGGACTTCCTTCAGGTGAACGTAGAGAAGACGAAGGTGATGAAGAAACTCAACCAACGACAACAGCATCAACAACAAGCACCAATCATCACCGACGGGGGATATCTAAAGCGAGCTGTCTCTTTCACCTACTACCTAGACAGCATCCTCTCAACTACAGGCGTCGTCAGTGGCAGCGGTGGTGACAGTAACAGTGCTAGTGGTAGTGGTAGTGGTAGTGGCAGTGGCAGCGGCAGTGGCAGCGGCAGCGGCGGCACAGATGAGGACGTCAAAGCCAGCCAGGATTGGAAAGACAGCAACACAGGTCTTCCTTCACTAACCTGAAACCAGTGTGGAGATCTACTACACTACACTACACTACACTACACTACACTACACTACACCTCACTTCACTTCACTCAGCAGAAGCGTGAACCACTTCTGGATTTCCAACACTAACTTGAAGTCAGTGCTTCTATCTGATGGTTGATGGAGTTGGTGCGTGACGGAAAGCATTCTCAACAAACTGCAGACATACATCATGAACAGCTGTCGCCTACGCTCACTCGATACTGGAGATGAAGATCAGATGGATGGCGAGAATTATCAGAATAAGCAACAAGGAACTGTGACCTGGCAACGAAGCAACCAAGAACCTGTCACTCAACAAATATGCAGAAGAAAGTTGAGATGGATTGGACATACACTGAGACAACCATTCGGAGACATCACGCACCATACCAGGCTGTCGAGTGGAAGTTGAATGAGAAGTGACGAGTTGGGCGTTTGAGGGTGACATGAAGGAGATGGTGGAGGAAGACATCAAAGCCTATGGATAGTCGTGTAGGCAGGTTCGAAAGATTTGTCTATGAATGTGGAGCAAGCCTGTTTATAGGCCGTAAGACAATAGTTACGAACTTAGATGATTGGTGTTGTTATAATTCTACGCATCTATGCTTAATCAGTTAAACAAAACTGGCGCATACCTGTTCATGTTATCTAGGTAATTATCAGTTCATAACTTAACCTTGTAGCTTATTGTTGTTTCGTATAACATGCGATTAATCTATATACTGCATGTGTTTTAATTTATTATTTCTCTGTTAATTAAAGCAAAATAAGAAACTGCTTTGTTGGAATTCAACACACTGTCATCAGACTTTCATAATCTATGAATGCATAAACTCGGTCTTCTAAACTTGATAAGAAATATCGAGATATTCAAGTAATGTAGTCTATGCTGAAAGACTTAATCAAATGAAATAAAATACACGTTCGTCTTCATACTATGCATATTCACAATATATAGGATGATAAACACAACATATTTTTCTGCTTTTATACATCTATATGTGTGTACATAAACCACTGGGCGCCATAATAATATCCTATGCTTAATAAAGAATGCTTTCTTGCATTTACTTCTTTTGTACACACACACACACACACTGAAATGAACAAATGTGCATATCTACCTCTGCAAATACTGCTCACTGGTTAGTGTACGATTTTTTCATTGCTTGTTTATTCCATAAGATTTGTTTATTTAAGAATTTTATTTTATTGTATAATACTAATTTATTCTTATCTATAAATGGTTAGTATATACAATTCCACTTGACGTTGTAGTTATGCCAGTAATTGTTTTTAAATAAACAAAGGATTCTTTTCAAAGTAACCTGTAAGGGTTGTCAATCGAACCAGGATTTGTTGTTTTAGTAGATAAATGCACATTTAATTACAATATCAAACATAACTGTTGAAGGTCGATGGTTTTGAGTGAATTATTTGAATACTTGAAAACCCTGTCAGTCAATCAGTTACCCAATGGAAAATATTCAGCACAATTCAAAATATCATATAAAATAATTCTGAGCGTAAGAAAAACCTAAACTACTGTAGCAACTAGATTAGAATTAGCCATCAGAAAATTCTTATGAAACGCTTTGAACAATGTTTGTAAACATCTGTATACTACGGGGAGTTGAATTTGTAAGATATGGAAGTTATAACCTCTTATGTTAGACACTTACTTGACTAGGTGATAGTGGATATTAAGTGCTAGCCCTTTCCAAAGTACTAGCTTTAAGACTACCAGATGGGGTCAGAGTCTTCAAAAATTAAGGGTTTAGCTCAAGAATCTGCTTATTGACTGAATCAGTAGTCTCATTTCTATTGGATCAGTCAATTTTATGAATAATGTGCATGAAGCAACCTCTCACACACATACAGATGAGAAATCAATATCGTTTACAGTAATATTTTGTACTCTGTCAGTATCTTAGTATTATCATGGCAATCAAGTCTATGTTACTTGTATCGTGTTTAAACTGATACCTTTGATATTTGTACGACTGTTATATAGTCCTGCGATTGCAATTTTATACAAGCCTGATTATATGAATATAACTTAATTGGCATACAATTTAGTCCTAACCATAAATCATCAGGTAACCAGGATACAAAATGAAGTATTTCAACCCATCAAACAACAAATCTCTATTTTTGCACATCAGGAAGATAGAGACTAATCCTCACTATCATTTCGTATCCTCTTTCTAATTCAAATCTATTATAAATCTAAGTATCATGCCCAAGATGCTCCAACAACCCTTAAAAACCGAATAACAGATTTCATACTTAGAAAGCATAATAATTCACAAGAAGTGACTACAGCTAACATGTGATCACTTCAAAATAACAAGTTGCAAGCAACTAAATAATAATGAGTCATTAAAAAATACCTTGAGTAGAGCTAATAAATAACATCATAAAATAAGTCTTGAATAAAATCTGTTATAAGATAAATAAAATAGTACAACAGCTAATAATTATCTGAGATTCCTATTTTTTGTGAAATAGTCTATAAAGTGTACTGACCTACTGATGGTTTCACTGCCGAGAAATTCATTGACAAATTAGGAGACAGCAATAAACTTGAGAATTTCTACTGCTATATTATATCATGTTTGTATGAAAATGAAAATAGTGTTGCAGTGCTCTAATTGTTTCATGTTATCCAAAAGTTATACACACTTTGCCTTTGTTTTTAAGCTCAGAATACAACTCTGAAAAGTCATATTCAAATGATTTCATATATAATCACTTATAATTTGATCTAACACTTGTAAGAAGGTTATTTTTGATCAGTTATTGATTTTCACAAATTGAAGTTAAAACAATAAACTGTAATTAAAAGTTTTCACTTACTTGAAATGATTTTTCATCGATTGGACAATTAATTCTGTGTAAGATACAAACAATTTTCTTAACTAATAATTCATAATCAGGTTTAATTGAATCAATTTTATTCACTGATATATGATTTGAGTATTTTTCACAATTTTTCAAATTCTTATCAAAATATAATGATGTTCTACCAATATCATAGATTGATTTTGCACAATTTTTATATTCTACACGTTTATTAAACCAAAACCCACTAATATTTAATTCATTCAGCATACTTCTATTCAGATTGATCTTTGTGTTTTGTCTATTTGACGACATGAATGACGTTTCTTTCAATATTGTTGAATGGACAGTAATTGTATTGTATAACAAAAGTAATAAAGTGCTTAAAATTAAAATGAACATTGGAAAAAAGTTGATCATTTATTTAAAAGTTGAATATACTATCAATGATGCCTATAGCATTTACAAATGCATGAAATATTATGTCTGATTATGTAACAGAAGAATGCAGTCAGTATTTTCTTGTACAATGTTCAATAGTACATTATCAATATTATAACATTTCTTGGCCATTTATACTTTGAGATGAATTATTGTTGAAAAAAAGTAGTATTTCAATTTTCACTTACGATAAATGAAATCTATGCCAATTGAATATATATGTACATAAACCAATTACAAACTTTCACTGGTTAACTTTCCTACATAAATGTTTCACTGAATTACTAGATGACCTCTATTTTCCTAGCCTGTTATCATTGGGTAAATTCAATGTGGCGCCAACTAATATTAAAATGTTTCATCGCAAGTACATACACATTTACATAAATACATCAATTAGTAAAGCTTTGTAATACACATTGATGTTGCTAGTCTCGATTCGCATAAATTTGTTAAGTGTTAAATTTATACATACATATGCTGTTTGCATAAAACGCGGATGGGTATATAGTTACCACATAATATTTACTTCTTGCATGTATGTATTTGTGTATCCATATACATATATATATATATATATATATATGTACATAGATAGATATGGGAAGAAAATGTAATATTTTCGCTTGAAATTGTTAATTAAGACTGCATAACTAGCTTGTAGATAAATTCACTGAATCACCAATGAAATAACTGCGCAACGTATATTTTATGACTGCAACGACAGGGAGAGCGTGCTTTGCATATACAGTTCAATGTACAAAATGGCTAGTCTGTGCAACTGTTGTAGGATGGCGCCAATTTTTCAAAGAAAAGATATATATACATATAACAGACGCCATATTAAACAATGCATGTGAATACAAACACAACACACGCTTTAAAGATTCAACATGCCTTCATAAAATATATAGACAGGGAACCCTTGTCTTCCAGTCTCCTATATGCCTAAATGAAAGGTGTTAGATGTAAATTGTTATTTCAACTGAATCTGGCAGAAACAAATTTCAAGAAACACACCAGAAAGCTAAAATAACAATCAAACTTTATTTATTTATATAGTTATGATGATTTACCACTGTATTTTTAAGTATTTTGCTGTTAGACAGAGAAAGAGTAGCAAATAAAATTCCATTATACTGATCTGTTTCCAGCCATATGCACAAAATGACTGAATGTAATCCTGTCTGGTGTTTAAATCTTTTGTCAAGTTCAAGGTAACTCTTAAATCATTTTAACCAACTAAAAGTGCACTATCCAAATCCCACACAATATACTGTACATAGTAGAAGATAAAAGTTGATATATATTTTTGCATATCAATTCTTTAACCAACATTGAAAAGAAAGTCAGTTGAAAAGCTTCTAGAAGTACACAAGCCCACAGTAGCTACTTTATTTCAGCTAAAAATTCTTCATAGATAAGTGTTAAGGATATATGAAATTTTATGATTTCCATATCATTTCGATTAAGCAAAAGTGTTTTAACACCATATTGTTTTCAGTTTTAAATTTATTGTCTAGATGAAAGTGAGTAGTTAAGTAATTTTAACTCTTATTATTGTCTTATTATTGTAAGTTAACTTACTATTCATTTTACCAGTAATGCCTATTAAGATCACAATTTTTGTGGAGAATTGACCATAATTAAGTCCCTATTCATAAAAGACAAAATATCACTAACATATATGCACAACTACAATGGTTTTGAAGAACACATATTTTACAAATAGGGTACAACTACAAAATGAGATTATGTACAGTGTACGGTTGTATCCAACCTCCAGAGTCTCTAAATTTTAGGATAGTATCTATCAAAAAGCAGACGGAGTGTCAGCGGGATCATCTATGTCGCTGATCACAGTAGACAATATTTATTGGATAGTCAGAAGTATACGTCTTTATAGATGTTGACTCCTACTCCTAAGATACGGTGGTCATGTATGACACTGTATTGAAATCGTAGGATGACGGTAGTTTTATTCACACAGTATTAGATGGATTCCAGATCACTTATGGGTTAGAAAATGAAAAAGGAGAATTCGCTATGTTCAGATGCAGAATAAGATGAAAACTGGTGGTGATTTAGATATTACTGTCTACAGGAAGCCAAAGTACTTGGATCGGTATCTGTGCCACAGGTCGTTTTATCCGATGTCAGTTAACGAGGGTTCAGTAGAATAATAGAACTAGAAAACTCACTTGAGATTTCAAGTAACTAAAAAACATGAAGAAAACACTAACGATCAATAATTATCCTCTGGAGTTTACTCAGAGATTTGTTATGAATATATGAAAAATGATGCATTAGTTTTAATATGAATAGCAAGCACAACAAAACTAGAGAGGTGTCCAGGGCATTTTTTATGTTACCGAATAAGCAAGAAATATCAGAAGATGCAGGTGGAATCGTCAAAATGGCTGGAATAAAGATAACATTCAAGCCTACAAACTCACCCAGAGGTAAACATCGTCATCTAAAGGACCCTTTTAATTGAGACAAAAGTATTTTATTAAGTAAATGTCAGGAGATGATTTATTTTGGTTAAATACTCATCAGAAACTAGCTGATTGAGGTTAGTTAGATCATCAAAGCATAGTAATGAGACTGAATTTCCAATGATAGACTCCAACACGGACAATAATTTAGAAAACAACTCAGGTATTTCACTGCCTGCACTGATGCACAACGATGCAACAGGGCGGATGAAACAACTGCACTTATATCGTACGTTTACTTTCCTTGGCAAATTTGGACAATCCGAGAACAAAGACATTTTCCTAATAAAATGACCTCATTTTATTTCATATTTTATTTCACCAACTGCAAACAGCCTATATATGAAAGGAACTATTACTAGTACTAATGGTATAACATACTAAAAAATATACAGAACCAAAGAATATATGGAATACAGGGTTACCAATAACGTAGTAATTCAAGAAAATACAGGAATAATAGAAACAAGTCCGGCTCAAAATCAGTGGCAATTTATATCTGATGAGACCGAAAATTCTGCAGCTGTGAAATGCTGGACGGATAGTTAACAAACAAAAATCAATGTGAAAAAGGGACTGCTTAAAATCAAATGGGTTATATAATCACCTGCAAAACTGAAGAAAAGTTACAATGAGGGATAACAGATGGCAAGTAATCAGTGAAAAGGTGAAGCAGTTCAAGAAATGAAGACCATAAACATAATATTATAACATATTCCCTGGGTTCCTAGCAGAATATAGGACTTCAGTAGCACAGCTCCACTGCACTGTGCTCCGTAGTCTATTTGACCCGGCTCCACGTCTGACCACAAGCTTCCATTTCTTCCACACACCATCTCCTTCATGTCACCCTCAAACGCCCAACTCGTCACTTCTCATTCAACTTCCACTCGACAGCCTGGTATGGTGCGTGATGTCTCCGAATGGTTGTCTCACTGTATGTCCAATCCATCTCAACTTTCTTCTGCATATTTGTTGAGTGACAGGTTCTTGGTTGCTTCGTTGCCAGGTCACAGTTCCTTGTTGCTTATTCTGATAATTCTCGCCATCCATCTGATCTTCATCTCCAGTATCGAGTGAGCGTAGGCGACAGCTGTTCATGATGTATGTCTGCAGTTTGTTGAGAATGCTTTCCGTCACGCACCAACTCCATCAACCATCAGATAGAAGCACTGACTTCAAGTTAGTGTTGAAAATCCAGAAGTGGTTCACGCTTCTGCTGAGTGAAGTGAAGTGAAGTGAAGTGAGGTGTAGTGTAGTAGATGTCCACACTGGTTTCAGGTTAGTGAAGGAAGACCTGTGTTGCTGTCTTTCCAATCCTGGCTGGCTTTGACGTCCTCATCTGTGCCGCCGCTGCCGCTGCCGCTGCCACTACCACTGCCACTACCACTACCACTACCACTAGCACTGTTACTGTCACCACCGCTGCCACTGACGACGCCTGTAGTTGAGAGGATGCTGTCTAGGTAGTAGGTGAAAGAGACAGCTCGCTTTAGATATCTCCCGTCGGTGATGATTGGTGCTTGTTGTTGATGCTGTTGTCGTTGGTTGAGTTTCTTCATCACCTTCGTCTTCTCTACGTTCACCTGAAGGAAGTCCCGTCTTCCTTTGCCGCCTCACCTCTTCTGCCAACGTGGTAGTTTCAGCCTGTAGATCTTCGAGTTTTTGCGACAAGACACTAGACATAAATCATCATCATCATCATCATCATCATCATCATCATCGGCGTCAGCAGCGGTGGCAGCGACGGCAGCGGTGAAATTCGAATCTTCTCCTGCAGTCTTTTCATCCGTCCAGTCAGCATATGCCCATCGTCTCACTCTTCATAGTTTCTTGCATGATTAATTCCATTCCAGTCCAGTCCAGTAAAGTCAAGTCCATTCCAGACCAGTCCAGTCAAGTCCAGTCCAGTCAAGTGAAGTCAAGTCAAATCCAGTGGAGTCCAGTCCAGTCCAGTCCATTCCTGTCCAGTCTTGTCCAGTCGAGTTGATCACAATCAGGAAGATCATCGTCGACAGTAGACAACCTTGTCTTACTCCATCCCGTCTTCACTTCATAGGCATCACTCAGCTTCTCATTGTGTTGTGAATCACTTGGCATTCAGTATCATAAAGTATATATCTACTGTTGAATGAGGTTGATAAAGGTTAGTGGCACTAGAAGTGTAGTGTTCAAACAGCTGTTAAATTAATTCTCGATCGATGCTATAAAAGGCCTTTACAAACTCGATGAAGTTGAGGTTGAGGTTGAGTTGGATTGATTTGACTTCCATTCTATACTCTGTTCGTTCTATGATGATGTGTAGCGTTGCAATGTGATCCGCACATGATTTGTTCTTCCTGAGGCCAGCCAGCCCACCAGTCTGCATGTTCCGACCGTGATTTTGAATGCAGATCACCTTTAGATCTCTTAAGTCTGACGCGGACTAAATGGACAAATCATGGTTGAAGTATTTGTGTTTTAGCAGTCATATTGATTGTACTATTGATACTAAGTAGATATATTGCTAATAATAGTGGAAATATCTTGTTTTCATTCAATAAAATGACATTATTAGTTATGCTTGTGTATATCTTATATTGTTTGAAAATAAATTATTGCAATATATAGCATGGGAGTCTTGTCTTTGCTTCTTCACGTAAATAATCGGATTGTAATACCAACTTTTCCATCAGTTTTTAATATTTGTGAAAGTATCTAGTCAACTCTTGTTTAGGATTCATATATAGAAATGGTGTTATTACTCTTTCGGCGTATTGGTTCGGTATCCATTCTGCATGGTGTTTTGTTCAACTTCGGTGCTTACTGTCCACAGTAAATTCATTTTCATCTGTATCCATTTGTAGTTAGTTTGCACTAACTTACAAATATCTAACCAAACTGATCGGAAACAGAATTTATAGTGGTTAGAATTTAGTCTTACTTGAACAGTGTTAAACGGTGCAATATTCTTTGTGTGCGTTTTCAAAACCAGGTTGAAATGTTTAGGGGTGACGGTGTATGCTAGAGAAAGAGGACGGAAAACAGACTAGAGCTTTTGACACTACATAACGAATGGGAAAGCTGAGATCACGTGTTTGGAAATACGCACTCTGTAGTGAGAAATTCCACTGTGGTTTGTAGTGAAAACCCAGATATTCAGGCCAGCTGAAGTGATCTCCTTAGTATGGACTATTTGTCTCGAAAATATCTGGTTCAGAGACTTGGCGCGTCACGAAAGGGATTTCCAATAAACTACAGACATTCATCAATAACTGCCACCTACGCTGGCTCGCTACTGAAGATCAGATGGCCAGAAAGAATGAGCAACAAGGAACTCTGGGAACGAACCAACCAAGAACCTATCACGCAACAAATATGCAGGAGAAAGTGGAGATGGATTGGGCATGCACTGAGAAGGCCGACTGAGGACATCACGCGTCAGGCCAGTTGCTCGAGTGGAATCCCCATGGGAAGCGACGAGTTGGGTGTCCCAGCTGAGGGTGACATGGAGGAGGTCGTGCGAGGAGGAAATGAGAGCTTGTGGGCTGTCGTGGAACGAGGTTCAAAAGATCTCAGAGAACAGAGGTCACTGGAGGCGTGCTGCTGAAGCCCTATGTTCCACTAGGAACCCAAGGGACTAATAATAATAATAAGTTGAATGACTCCGATTTTTATTCCATAGAAGACTGAGTTTACGTAACTTGAGCAGTGTGAGTAGAACACTAAGAATTCGTGTCCCTGCTGTCTTCTACACACTCACAAGCAGAGGCTAAACATGGGATTATAACCTAGTCTGAATTTCTGGGAGTTAGAAAATGTCGCTGGTTCTTATTATCACTTCATATTGTCTTCTTGTGGAAAGGACTGAAGCCCCTTGATGTGGTTTCTCTGTCTTAGTCAACTGTCATGAGTTAAAAGCATAATACAACTGTAAAGTGTTTGGACAGTTCAAGTTTGTGATTGTGAACAGTTGTCTTTCAGTGTAGCTTGTAATATACTATAACCTTTTCATCAGTGCAACCTTTTCTTCAAAAAGTTGAATTACTTATCTCATTCTTACTTCCCAATATGTTAATTTTAGATTCATGATATCCCTTGTCAGTCGTCCTGTTTATCACTTCTCTCCGTCTGTGGACAACTACGCAATTTTCCACGGTCACACTTTAGAAATATTCCATCTGGTTGTCCTGTGAGTTTAGAAAGTATGGGTTCAAGATCACAAAAGCGATGGCTTTGGGAAAGTGATAAGTATGGAATGTCGGTATCTTCACCTAATTCAGCTCAAAATTATGGCACTTATAATGAAGTATCAAGTCCGAAAAGATTTGTCAGATATCCTGGTTACACGGATCTCATGTCTCGTGAGTTATCTTCCTCAGAAAACCAATATGGATATCATAAACGATTTAATATTCAATCAAGATATTTTTCAAACTCGAATGTAATACCCAGTACCTATCCATGGATTTATCGTCGTTATCGTAGACAGGCAACAATTGGCCCTAATCCTTCTGGTAGCATGGAAAGATATCAAGTTAGTGGTCCATTGATGCCAACTGGCTATATGGACAGATATACTTCGGGAAAAACACAATTACACTTCTCACCAACTCATCAGCATCGAAATAAACTATTCCTTACAGAAGAGGACTGTTTACTGTTACCTCCAGGTGGTTGTGATAAGTGGATGGACCATCCAACCAATTTACAGCGTCTAGAACCGCCTAATTTAAGGGAATATCTAAAATGTAAGTTCCGTTGTATTTGATTGATCAGTAAACTAAGCCATCCCAAAATAACTGATATACCTTTTTAACCGAAAGGTAATAGTAATTTATTCCATACAAGAAAGTTTTTGAAATTCAGCTATGTATATCTCGATCACCAATGTAAGTGACCTACACGCTGGAAATTCCAAATTATATCGAAAATTGTTTGGAATTAAGTGATTATTTTTATTACTATTATTATTGAAGAGTGTAGGATAACTCATTGTCTAATTATTCCCACATATGCCTCTCTTTACAAGTGCTGTTGAGAGGCTGTTTGAGTTAGGTGTTGTAGACGAAATGCAGTATCAAGTACTGACCCATCAAGTTATTGAGGAAAAAGGGAAGAGGAAAACAGCATTATTTATAGCAATAAACTAATATATTGCAGTTTACCTCAATAGACAACTGTGACAAAAGAGGCCATAAATCTACTCTTATAAAAAACAACTGAGAAATGTTGAAGAAAATAATTAAGATGCGTGTAAAATGTAAATTCAACCGCAAACTCTACGACCAACATTAACACGGTTTGTATGAACTTTCTACACAACATGAGCAGTGATATAAAGCATCATCTCATGTCTCCTACTTTCAACGCCTACCTTACAACAGAACACGGTGAAGCGTTGCTAATTATGCTGATTCTCTGTTAAGGGGTCACATATATTGCTGTGACCTGAAATGTTGTTAACTGGCAATTAATTTTCTAAGTCTGCTTTTCGTATTTCGGTTCCTATTATGCCATCAACCAGAGAATTTGAGTTCAAATGGTCTTAGCAACTACTTTGAGATTTGTAGGTGATATATTTCTATCAAACAGTTTGTTGGATAGAGAAAACGCTTTTCGTAAGTCGAATGCTGCAAACAGAATTTTAAAATTCAGCGAATACTTAACATTAGTGAATTTTCATTTGTTTGGTTTATCCCTTCAATACTGTTATTTAACAAAGATTATGTGGTGCGCTGATAGTGTGTTTTTGAAATGCGGTCACTGAATACACCTTCCATTTCTTATGTTTTTCACACACGAAGATTCGACGAAGATGATGAGAAGCACTAACTTTATTAACAATTATAGCAATAATTTAAGAATTTAGCGAAACTGCATAATATTTCTAGCAATCAGTATGTCATCAACAAAAAATGTTAATGTGATTAAAAATAATCTGATTTTTATTAACGTAATTCTTTGTAATGGTAATGCCGATTTAATGATGTTATTTAGCGATATAAGAACTATCTAGCTATGGAGTGATAATTTCAGTAGATGACAGTAGATTATATCACACCTCATCCTGTATTTATACGACTCTCAGACATGTCCGTTGAAAGTAGACAGCATGAAGCAGTTACAGGGCTATGTCCACAGATATCTTTGTGGTATTGCTGGCGTTCAATGGAATCGTCATGAAAGGATTATTGAGATCAGGTGAAGCGAACTAGACAAAAAGGCGATTCGGTCATTAAGGTTGTGAATTTTAGTCGACTGAGATGGCTTGGACATGTACCACGCATGCTGAGCTACAATCTAACTTGACGTACCATTCTGGAGAAAGTTGGAATATGTTCGAAGAGAGTTTATGGTGGATAGAGTAAGACGGTGCACCAGTCCATGAAGTCTCCTACCGTTGGTCTGAGTCGTATGGAAAAATGAAGATTGTCTAGGTGAAGTTCGTGTGGCGAAAGAAATAAGTGATTAAAAACACTTGGTAACATGACTGAAAACCGTTCACAATGGCACAGATGTATTCCTTCTTTGACATCTTCTGAAGCTTGAATATTTGTTCTAACCCTTATCTTCAATTTTTTTATTGTCAAACAAATGTTTCTACTTTGATATCACTCCTTTTTTACTACTGTGAAGTGTGCCAACTTGAGCCGATTCACTTGTTTGTGAAGCTCTACTCTGAATTCACCAATCAGTCCTGTGTTTCTACTCTCTTGGAGCAGCCAGAATGTTCGATGTTTCTGGCCAACATAAAATTTGAACAAATACGTGTAGAAATTTTTGTCTAAAAGGATTTTTAATGACTCTGTCCCATGAAATAAACAACTTATTGGGTGAGTATATTCAACTAACGTGTTTTGATGATAATTTTCAGTAACACTTGCCGTTAGAAACTAAATGTAGTATGAAAACTAGTAGTATTTTATTGTAACCAGTCTGCATCTGAATGAATAGGGCCAAATCGAAGCACACTCAGCAACCTTTCTCACCTTCATGCAGTAGACTGTGGGCTACATCTGCTGTGTGATGGCTAATGGTAACACCTGACTGTCTAAATCTCGATAGGTAGAGTGATGTTCAAAATTGTCATTACTTGTGCTTAGTATCTGCTCAGGATGCGATAGTAAGGATACCCTAAGAACTACATCACCGAAATACGGCTAGTTGGTCAATGCAACCTCAAGAAAATGAAGTCATAAATTTCAGAAACGTATACAACTATATACTATAAAGAAACATGAAAACACAGTCTAACGAAACAATTTATGATTGCTGAAGTGACATTTAAACCAGCAAAAGAGGTGAGTATTGAATAAAGAAAAGTTGTGGATTTAGGTGGTTTTTTATTAATAGAGTAAAGAATCAGTAAAATCCAAGCAAAATGTGTTAATGGATTATTTTCAGCGTCTGAATGTTAGCCTTAATGCGCATATTTTTATGTATTGAAATGGAAGAAGGATACAGATTTCCTTTGATGATACTGTTAGCTTAGATTTATCCAAATCCGACTGATGGTTTCATTCACCGTTCGACTTTATTTCTCCTAGTTATTTTAATAGACTGCGTTAGGCTACACTTGGTTAGCCTGAACACAAAACGCATAGTTTAGTCTACTTGTACTGAAAAATAATTTAAGTAAGGTGTGTGTATTATGTGTTGTCAGTCGTAATTAGTAATAAGCTACCAGAATGTGGCTTTACATCAAAAACATTAAAGCATACGAATCAATATATGGCTATCAGATTTAATACATTCATTTTGTTTCATATATTTCTGAATCAGCCTGAGATAGATCTTACATGAAATATTGAATCAGATGTAACGGGCTGATAATTGAATCTGAAAGAATATCTGAATTTCTCCCACCAAAATCTGGATTACTGATTGAGCTGTTGGAAACAGCTACTGACCAAGTTCAAGTATTTTCTAAAATATATTTTTCAAATTCTGTAACATATTCACAGAATAAAAGAAATGCCGTATCGTTTATCATCTCATGTATAAAGTTTTATTGAATAAATCTGACATGTCACTGATGAAACTAATATCTAAACAGAGTCTTTATTTTATGACAAAGTCAATTTTTGGCTGAATAATACAGTATAAATTGTTTTAGGAAAACAATTAAATTACACTAGAAAATAGATATCAAAGTCGATTATAGCAGATTGAAATTTATATATAAGAGATGATTATAGATACAGCAAGAAATGACCTTCATCTCTTTTAAGTTCAAATTATATCATGAATAAATAATGACCAGTAGTAGTTCACCTTCATCGAATATGAGAACTTAAGCATTTTCTAAATGTCTAACCAGCTGTTTGTACAATAATCTTGAGAGTTATCTAACAAAGTACGTTCGTGTTTAGGTGCTTTTTATGAGTAAAGAATAAGTGATCCCAAAAACATGAAAGAATTGATGAATTATCACTATGGAAAGAATATCTGACACGTGTATGATCATTTTAATGTAAGTGATCAAGTAATCAAGTCTAATTCATTCATGAATTTCAGCGTTATCCGTGTTGTGTAGACACTTTTTCTGTACACTTATTCTCTCCTTGTATCTAGCCAAGGAAGACAAGAACAAACTTCATAAGACTGTACCCTTGTATAGCTAAATACACGAATTCGACTGTGTACTACCAAGCATGCATCTCATGTGAATAGAAAGGTGTTAGAATAGAACTCACTTATCAACTTCTTAACAATAAATAATCTGTCTTTTCAATATTTTGAATAACACTGTAAAACTTTCACCATTATTCATATTCTTTAAGTAACTTAAATTGTTATATTAACACTCAGAAATGTTGTAAAGGAGTATATATTAACGATATATTTTTGTTTTAATATGTCATGCTGAAAATCCCAAAATTGTACTATAACAGCTTTGGGAATAAAATCACATAATATACCTTTAATTTAGTTAACATCAGTGAGCAAACATGACACATCAGTAGTTCATAGCAGCAACAAACATTAATTAACTTTGCTAGTATACTACACACTTAAGAAGCTGAGAAAGTTCACTGTTTGTTGCAACCATATAACACTTTCATGACATCTTTCCAGTCTTTTTTTAATGAGAATTTATCCCATTCTCATGACATGGATTTGGGGTTTAAATGGTGGAGAATATTTGTGGCTCAAGTGGATGGTCTTAGTTGTATTGTTTTCTCTGAGCTGGGTTGTCTAGTCGTGGAGCTTTCATCGTTTTGCTAGAGAACATCATCAGCACTAACTTCAGTATGAAGTGGGCTGTTAGTAATTTAGTAGCTTACCCTGACAAACTGGTTGGTGATTGCTTATTCCCTTTGATAATTGTGTCATTGACTGTATAGATTTCCCTGTTGGCTGTTCCTCTGCTTCACCTCTGACCTTCCTGTCCTTTATCATTTTTCTCACTGGTTGATAGATTGAGTCTGTGTCCATACATCTGTTGATTGCTGACTGACTAATCTGAGTGCCTAGCGCCTAGGAGTGGAGTCTGATTCCCCGCCAGCTATTGGTCTTGCACTGACCTAGGTCTCCTTTCTTCGGAAGTTTGACTAGTAAGCCCTTCATCCAACCAGCAGATAAATTCGCTTACCTTCCTATTTCCAAACCTTCTGCAGTAGTGTTGTATGCATGCCTCTGTTGGCTCAGCGTTTTTCCCAGTGGTTCTGGAGGAATTCCATCTAATCCTGCTGCTTTTCCAGATTTCAGGAACTTTATTGCATTCAGGACTTCACTTCTGCTTTTGTCGGAGGACCTGTGCTTACT